AGGGATTGCAAGAGAGAAAGCAGGAACCTATCAAGATATACACATTGAAAGAAGTGCACTAGCACCGCCTCTTTGCCTAGTATGCAAACAAAGCTGTGAGCCATGAGCTACATCGGGAGGCAAACAAAACCCTTTAATGTGGAACTGATTAATATCTTGTCAGTATCAGGCAGCACTGCCAGCTGGCCAGAAGGTTCTAATCAACTAATTAAGGCCACAGAACTAAACTTGTTAACTTGCAGTTAGCACTTTATAGATACCTGCTGCACTGTGGAGAAAAGCAGCTCAAAAAGAGACAGCTTGCTTAGGCAATATCTCCACTCTGCAAGGATAGTCAAGAGAGAGAGAGAGGAAAAACCAACAGGTCAAGCACAAAACAATGCACACTAACTGTTGCTGTAATGGCAAACATGTGAGTGGGAGAGATGCTCCAAATATTGTAAATGCAGGCATTGATTGAAAAATTACTATTGCAACTTCAAACTGTCCAAGGCAGTTCCTAAACAAGAACTAGCTGTACAATGCTTCCTGTACAAGAGTACAATTTTACAAGAGGATTCTGAAATCTTGCTGAAATGACACGATGTAGTTCTATTGTGGTCCCAGATCCTATAGATACAGGATCCATGCTAACCAGAATTTACAACTCCTCTGCTTGTGCTAGAGGAGAGTGTTTAAGCACTCAGAGGAGCTTTGCCTGATTCAAAGCATTCCGATGGGACTAGCTGTTCCCTCAGGTCTTGGACTGAGATGAATGGACAGGCCTGTGAATGTTTGAAAGTAGTGAAGAAATAAAATACCCAGGCTAAGTAAGTTTTTAGACTGGCTTGCTGTGCTTAAAAGTTGCTTTGACAAAGGAAAAAGGGAAAGTGGTGGAGAGAAAGCACTATTGTAATGGCAGATGCCAGCAGTTGGCAAAAAGCAAACCAAAGCCAAGAAAATTACTTTTAAATTAATATTGCAGCTGTCCAGAGTCATTTGGAATAGGGCAGTCTAGAGATTTACTGGATAAACAAGCAGACTTAGCAATTTTGAGCAGCTATACTTGAGCTGTAGACAAAGGGCATAATCTTCAGATTTATCCATATACAGTCAGGGAGTGTAGGTATCACTTGAAAAGCTTCCACAGGTAAGATAATGAATTTTGACCCCCTCAGCTAATTTTCAACCTGCCCAAGAGGACAGCCATTTAAAGGAGTGAATTGTGATAGGTGATTAACCTGTATTCCATCTCTGCAAATGCTGTGTAATAGTATTTTTTGTGATTGACTGGAATACTTTGAGGAGATGACAAAATAAGGACAGTGCTGGTTAAACTAGAATAATCAGGAAGAATGGAGAAACATTCCCATTATCTTTTCTAGAATTTGGATCCATCCTCTTTCAAAATGCAGCCATGGTGTTATGGCCTTTGCTTGTGAATGTCAGAATGAGCTGCCTGATAGAAGCTATGGTCACACACTCTAAATAGCAGAGAAACTATTTTTCCTTCTGAAGTTGTATATTATACCTTGTTAATTGTTTCTATCCTGGAGCTGACACAACTTTCTTTGAATGTGAGTAAGCAGCATGCTTGGTCAAAGATAAGGTGTGGTAGTGACATATTAATCATGTTTAGCTAATTAAATAGGATCAGCACGATTCAGATTGAAACTAACAATTGACAGGTACAGCAATGTTGGATTATGTCTAGGTTGCTTGTTTATGAATTATGCTGGCAATGAAGATGAATCCTTAAACACTGATCTTCTTATTCTTCAGTGCTGAGTGACCTTGTGAACAATAAGTATAAGAGAAATGATGTCAGTGGAGAAATTGACATGTAAAAAGAGAGAGCACCTGGAATTAGAGGAATACGCTTTTAACCAAGTATTTAGAAATCCTGTGAAATGATGGATACGTTCCCTCAGAAAAAGTGCAGAGAAGTGTTTATTGTATAGAAGTGCGAAGGAGAAAAAAAAGTGAGGCACAAGTTTGATGCCATTCCCTAAACAAATAAATAAAATAAACCCCAAATAAATCTAGAAGTGGAAAATTATATCTCCTGTAGTTTCAGCATCAAATATATGTGGAGAGAATTGAGATTTGCAATGGTTAGATAGAAAATAATTCATTTCAAGGCAGTTAATATGAAAGTATCAGAATTAGTTTCCAGTGGGAAGACTATATTTTCTGTCTCTGTGTTTATTTTTTTTACAAAATCCAGCTTCTGCAGGTAGAAGAATTGTAGTCACTTGTGAATCTTTATTCATCACTATAGTTGAAGTAACACTGGGAAATGTTGAGTCCTGGAATCCACATTTTTGAAACTGCATGGGATGGATGCACTGGATGCAGAAAAAACAAAACAAAACATTTTGATGTTAGAAATGGCCATTCAGTTAATTTCAATTTAATTACTATGACTTCCTCTCCTTCATAGAATCCTGGGACCCATAATTCCATAAAAGTGCTAAGGTTAAGCTAATTTTCTGCAGCATAGATACTGTACACTTTGAGACTAAATGTTTCCCCAAACCTTTAAACAGCTGAATTGTTGTTTAAATGTGGTGGGAGATTCTTAGGAAAAGAATGAGAATTAATATTCTCATTTGCTTGCAAAGGCTTTGGGAAATCACCTGAGTTTTAGGCAATCATGAAAATGGGGTAAAGGAATTAGCAACACAGATAATTTTCAACACAGTTTCTGGGGGAGGGAAGATACACAATATAAGAATCTTTTCATTCAGAATTAAATGAATGGGAACCAGGTTTATTGCTTCAGTAATATACTAATATAAGGAAAATTTATTTTAAGTGTATGGAAAACCCTTCAGAGTTGCATGTGAGACAAAGTTGGGTATAATAATAATAATAATAATAATAATAATAATAATAATAATAATAATAATAATAATAATAATAATAATAAAGTTGGAAGGGACCTTGGAGGTCATCGAGTCCAACCCCCTGCTGAGGCAGGAACCCTACACCATTTTGGACAAATGGCTGTCCGGTCTCTTCTTAAAAACTTCCAGTGTTGGAGCATTCACAGCTTCTGGAGGCAAGTTGCTGCACTGATTAATTGTTCTGTCAGGAAGTTTCTCCTTAGTTCTAAGTTGCTTCTCTCCTTGATCAGCTTCCATCTGTTGCTTCTTGTCCTGCCCTCAGGCGCCTTGGAGAATAGCTTGACTCCCTCTTCTTTGGGGCAGCCCCTGAGATATTGGAACACTGTTATCATGTCCCCCCTCGTCCTTCTCTTCGTTAAACTAGACATACCCAATTCCAGCAACCGTTCCTTATATGTTTTAGCCTCCAGTCCCCTAATCATCTTTGTTGCTCTTCTCTGTACTCTTTCTAGAGTCTGAGGCAACCAATCTATTTGTTCTTCAACCCAAACTAAAATTTTTATTGGATATCAGTCTATTCCCTGTAAGGATCCAATATGGATAGCTAATACAGGTTGTCCTTGACTTCTAACCGTTCATTTAGTGAGTGTTCAAAGTTACAACGGCACTGAAAAAGTGACTTATGATCATTTTTCATACTTATGAACCTTTGTAGCATCCCTATGATGATGTGATTAAAAAGCCAGATGATGGGCAACTAGTTCATACTTAGGACCACTGCAGTGTCCCAGCTTCATGTGATCATCTTTTGCAACCTTTTGACAAGCTAACAATCCAGACTGAAACTTTATATAAATCAAAGCTATACGATGAATTGCAACCTAAAAAGAAGTTTGTAGCCTAGAATGGTTGGGATGTGGACGACGCCAGACGGGGTCCACAGTGAATTCTAGTGAAACATATGAAAGGTTTTTAAAAAGGCAAGATGGTGACTGCAATCTTGCAGTTGAAACCCTGTCCCCTTTTAATGTTATGCATGTAAAAAAGGCACAAAGCTTCAATTGTTGCAGCTGATACCTTGACTTTTTTTAATCCTTCCTGTGGATGTCATGGAGTCTGGATCATCATTAGCCCATTGTATACAATTTAGGAGGTGGGGAGGGCAATGGCTTTCCTTTTTTAAACCTTCCACTAGGCTTTCTTTTTAATCTATTATTGAAGTCACTAAAAGGGAATGAACAGTGCTGGTTTCAAGATGGCTAAGTGAACAGGTCTAATTCACAAATACTGTAACTGTCCCATGGACATCACAGAAGCAACATGAATAATGAGCAGCACTTCTGCACATACTTTTTTCTCCTGATCTAGTCTTTAGCAGGGTTAACACTGTTTTGAGTCTTGAGGATCTGTCAAACAGCATCCCTTGTCTGCAGAAATACACTTTTAAAATATTATTATTATGGACATTTGCAGCAAGAGGAAATGTTGATTGTAGGGCCCGTACATGTGGAGATAAATTATTTGAAAGTTGTAGATTATTGCTTAGCAGATGATATGGTTAATTTAGTGGGGCTGAAACTACCTTGCTCCATTCTCTTTCTCCATGTAATTGCATTCACTTGACAGATATCCTTTGATCAGGAATTAAAAGCTAGATATAGCGTGGTTTTACTGTACCATACTAAACAGCTACCTGAAGAGCTGGGAAACTGCTGGCCAAAGATTAGTATATATTTGAAGTATTTTCAGTATTGTTAAGAAGGAAAGCAAGCAAGCAAAAAGCAACTCTACCTTTAAAAGATATACATTTGAAGAGTAAATAACTGATTAAAAGTGAAGCTATAATTTTTTTTTTACAAACCTTGCAATCCATGGTGAGATGCATCCATTCTTTGTACTGTCCCGACAGATTGTAATTTGTCATATATATGGTGATAACTGTAGGACATATAGTCATATATGTACAGTTTCAGGGTATGCAGAATATATGTGAACCCCATAATGGGTATAGGATAATACTTCAAAGCTCTGATTATTTTATTTGCTTGTTTTTGTGCAGCCTTTTTTTTTAAAAAAAATCCTTAATAATAATGCCATCAGATTTTCAACTGACAGCTCAGGTTGAGCCAGGAAGTGAAGGGCGGAACAAAGAGTTTTCACTTCTGTTCTGTGCTATCTCAGTTTCTGGAGCTCTTGTCTTAGCCAAGATGGCAAAGGTTGTCCCAGTCTGTGCAGCAATTTGGACAGTTCCACATTGTGATCTCTGTAGTAATTTGAAAGGAATGCCCTAGACTGAGAATAAGGGGAAAGAAAGAAACTTTCAGATAGTTAACAATGTTTTAGTTTCATGTTAGGATTTCTATAAAATATCCAATGGCTTAAAGATAATTCCAAGTTATGCAAAGGGTTAGGCAAAAGTTATGCAATTTAACTATAAATTGATCACAGATTAATTGTCTGATCTTGTAGATCAACTGCATATAAGAATAAGTGTGATTGTAATGTTTGAAGTATTGGATTAGGAGTGGGGAAACTCAGGTTTAAATTAACACTCAGACACGGACATTCGTTAAAAGCCCAATCCAATTTTAGGTTCTTATTGCAGCACAAATAATTCTAAACTCTCTATGTATTGTTTAGAATGTTTAGAAAGAAAAGCAGGATATAAAGCTAACAAATCATTATCTTGCATAACCATATGCTTCATGGTTATCTTATCGTATCTTATCTTATTTTTTGTATTAAATAATTGTGTACCTCTATAGCAGTGATGGCGAACCTATGGCACGCGTGCCAGAGGTGGCACTCAGAGCCCTCTCTGTGGGCACGCCTGCCACCACCACCAGCAGTTTGCATAGGTCCATTAGGCCACCTCCGGGGCCCGGAGCAGCAGCCCCGCCCAGCACAAAGGAGACAAAGCAGCCAGCTAGCAAGCTCGAGTAGAGGTGGTAGAGCACGCCCCCATGTGCTCGCTGGCCTCTGTGTGCGGGGCCCAATGGTGTCAGGCAGCAGCCGCCCCTGCCTCACCTTGCCCCATAGCAATGACACCCCCGTCCTGCCTCATCCTGCAGGACGAGCCTCCTGCCCACTGCCCCACCCATCAGAGACCCACTGGATCTTCCCCAATCCTGCCCAGCCCCCACAGGCATCCTCCCACGAGCAACATCAAGGTGGCCACGTCCATCCAGTCTGCCACGCTATCCAGTGGGCCATGCCCCCCACACCCCCTGAGGGCACCACAATGCTGATGCGGTCCTGGCACTTTGCAATAAATAATTGGGTTTTGGGTTGCGGTTTGGGCACTCAATCTCTAAAAGGTTCGCCATCACTGCTCTATAGTCTCAAGGCTGTTGAGCAAATGGGAAGAAATATTCCCATGACAAGGAAAAGGCAGGAAAAAAAGGGAAGTCAGTTTGACTACTGGTGTCAAAACCTAGATCACTTCCCAATACCTGAACAATAGTATGCAATGATCCATTACCACATATACTTGTGCACAAGCCAATACTTTTAGGTGCCACAATGCACCCAAAAACTTGACTTGGCTTATTTGCAGATGGGCTTATCCATGACTAGTATTTTCCATATATATACTCGCATATAAGTCCATCCATGGATAAGCCCACCCTTAAATTTTTAATGCAAATACCACGAAAAATGCAGGTCAACTTATCTATAAGGGGTGCCTTTTTCAGTGTATTTGCATTAACAATTCAAGAGTTGGCTTATCCACGAGTATATATGTTATATCAACATCTGAATCCATACAATTTATTGAAAAAGGAGGCGAATCTGGGAACTAACATTACCATTTGTTCACATAATTATTTTGGGTTTGTATTTATGGTAAATTAAGTATAAAAATAGTAATTGGCATCACATATTCACAATAAAAATAACATTAATCAGGATCAACATTAAAAGTTGGGAACCCTACATTTCCACGAGAAGCTTCTTCCGGTGAGAGGGGCAATTCCCAGCCTTCAAATACTCTGGGCCTCAAGACCTTCTCTGTCATTTATCTGCTCACTTGAGCAATGAAAGGCCCAAGAATAAGCAATGGCTATTCTCGGTGATGACTACACAGATTACATCTGAACGAAAAGTACAAATAAAAGTAGTGCAGCAATAATAAAAAGAGAAGAAAAAAGAAGGTTCCTTGTCAAGAGTTCTTCCAAAATGTGGAGTTCACACTGCTCTCAGTGATGATATGGTTATTATTAGGGTCGGACAACTTTTGAAAATTATTTGCAAACGATGCTTACGAATGCCTGAATGGTTGCACCTCTTTAAACTGAATAAATCTTTTTCAATATCTTTTTCAGATACCGCATTTACAATGCTTCTGAATCAGAAACATCTCTTTTTAACACACACACACACACATGGCCATAGTAACAATTTTCCTTTTTCAGGCCATACTAAATATTACAGTAAATAACAATAAAATTTCAATTAAAAATAATACCTCTTGATCCATGGGAGGATATTTTCGGCCTTTACTTTTCCCCAGACATTTTATTTTTCCTCCATCCAGCAGCTGGCACCAAAATCCTTTCTGAGGATCAAACCTAAAACATTGCTTAGGTGAAGGTGGGGATAGGGAGGTGACAACATCTCACAACAACCTATTTATTGCAGTAAATCATATTGGCAGAGAGTGGTTAATTTACTTTTCAAAGTTGGAGATGGATACATTTCAGTGGATTTCAGAATGCACATCAGGGAATAAACCAAAGACAGTTCTTGCTATTGAATATATTGTTTTGGGACCTGTGACATTCTTAGAACAGTGAAAAGCCAGCTGTAAAAAACACTGAAAAGTTTAATTAAATTTGGCAGATGCCTTGGAAGGCCAATGAATTATTGGTTAGAATATAGCAATAATGAGCTTGGCCCCACTTTTTTTTTGCCTTGGGCTTTTTCCAATAATAGCAATATTCCTATAAATACACTCACGACAGCACATTTCAGACAAAACGAAATTACTTTTCCAGCTCAGTCTATTACTGCATTAATCCTCACTGCCCAAATAATCTTTAGTAATGGTATCAATTAAAACTAAATAAATCATTGATTAAATGCATATACTGAGAGGAGTTCACTCCTAGCTTGGATTTCCCAATCTTCCTTGTACATAGCAAAGTCTTTTTTGCTGGTTTTCAGTAATTTCCCAAGGGGGGAAACAATATTGCTTGCTGTGCACGAGAAAAGAATGAAGCTGTAGAATTATATTGCAAACCATATATTTGTTTCCAAGGAAATATATTTGGAAGAACATGTTAATTGGCAATAATTATTTCTTTGGTAGATTCTTTGAAAGATGTAGATGGAATTCAACATCATTTAGTTCACTCGGCATTGGTCTAGTGAAATATATAAATGGGCTATGAAGCTATTAAAAGGAGCTTAATGTTAACTACAGGTAGCCCGCAACTTACAACCACAATAGAATCCCAAATTTTTATTGCTAAGCAAGACATTTATTCCGTGAATTTCCCCCCCATTTTATGACCTTTCCTGCTACAGTTGTTAAGTAAATCACTACAGTTGTTAAAATTAGTCACACGGTTCTTAAATGAATCTGGCTTCCCCATTGACTTTGCTTGTCACAAGGTCACAAAAGCTGATCACATGATCCTGGGGCACTGAAATCGTCATAAATAGGAGTCAGTTGCCAAGCGTTTGAATTTTGATCACGTGACCATGGGGATGCTGCAACAGTCCTAAGTGTGAAAACTGGTCATAACTCACTTTTTTCAGTGCCATTGTAACTTTGAACAGTCACTAAATGAACTTTTGTAAGTCGAGGACTATCTGTACACTATGCTCTATAGAGTTCTTTGGTCACAATTATATAAATTGGAATATTAGCTGTTAAAGCAGAAAGTAGGTTTTTCTTGGTGCAGATAACACCCACTGTGCTGTTTCTCATTTCAGCGTCCATTTCTATAGCCACTTAAAGTAAGAAAAATATGAAGATGTTACAAAAAAAAGAGCAATCACAGCTAGGCAATCTTCATATTTGCCGTCTGTTAACAGACTTTTTAAAAAGTAAGCTACTACTACAAACATAACATGATACTAATGCAAAATAAAGATGTATAGGATGAGGGGGAAAAGAAGAAATGCAACTCACGTTAACGCATCAGAATAGTTATAATGAGGAGAAACGCTCAGAAACTTCTGAACTCCATCCATCACGGTAGCTGGGTCACTTCTTAATTGCTGTCCATCAATAATTAATAACTGTAGATATAAGGCTAATTGTTTATTTACATATAAAACTCAAAGGAAGTATGAAACATTGCAGCATTATTTATGCTTTCGGAAAAAAGTTGGGATTGTCTCATTTTCCTTGCCATAGCAAGACAAACACCTCTGTTGCGAAGTTTCAGGATTGCTTTGGACTATCTTGTCAAATTTGGTTTTTCCATACCATTAAATGAGCACGATCACAGTGATCAAATTGGAACAGGAGTACTACTGATCACTGTGCCTCATTTCTTGAATACTAGGAAGATAATTCCACCCTCCAACGTTAAAAGAAGGACCAAATAGTCCATGAGACAAAAGTTGCATTAGGGAAAAAAATATTTATTATTTATTTATTTATTTATTAACCTTGCTTGAAAAAGGAAGATGTTCCTAATGGCATAGACTTAAACTAAGAAAATTAAAATTTCCTGCTCTTGAGCATTAAAATTTCTGAAATAAATAGAGTTTCCCAAATAAGTCTCAGAAACAGTACAATGAACTTTTGAACATGCCTTTAAGAATACATAAAATAATTTTTATTTAAAACGTGACACGAAATCCACACTCTACACTGCTCTGGATAACGCCAATTTTAGATTTGTTCCACAGAGTTTGTGAAATAATTTCAGTAAATGGAATCAGAAATGGAATCAGTGATAGATGAACCAGATACTGACAACTTAGCTTGAGCTCAGAAGCAGAGCTGGGAACTTTGAATACCCAATAGCTTTAGGGATTTCAGTCTGAAAAGTCACTTTGCTGATTGAAAGCAATGATAAAATTATGAGTTCTACGGCTAATCAATAAGGCTTTCCTCTTAAAATCCCTGAAGTCAATGTCAATCCCAGACCTCAAAATTTCTCAGCTAAAATAGTATTATCCAAATTAAGCTTATCAAGAATAAGTGAAGAGAAGACTTTTATGCCAGTTGAAAAAGTTATGTCTGTCTATCAGTTCTGTACATTAGTTTGCTTAGCAGGGCAAGACATCTGAACAGATGTATTTGTGTGTGTGTGTGTGTACACAATATAGTCTAGTTTCCCTCACAGTTTAAGCAAGTTTATTATACGAAGTGAAAAGAGTCTAAAACTAGCCAGCTCGCTGATCTGACTGCTGGCCTGGCAAAATGACAGCTGTGCAGATAAATTATCCAACTGGCTGACTGTAAGCTCATGTACCACAAATGGAAGATCAAGGATCATCCTTCAAGAAACCAGTAGAATATATGCGTCATGCACAATTGTTGATTGAGTTCAATTGGTTTAAAGTCATTAATTTCATTTAAGACTTCCTTCCTCTTTGATGCTACCAAAATGCAAATAATAAGAAATGGAACCCTCTTCTACCACCACCGATATGCTTGGTCTCCCTGCCAATCTTCCTAATTCAAGATTCATCTATACTGGCGAAAATGCTTTTCCAAGCCAGAAATATAATATTAGAAATTAGATATGCACATACATGTTATTCTTCTTTGAGGTTCACTGAATAGTTCATTTGGTTTCATGTCTTCTTTATATTCTAACATAAGCATAATGGTTAGCATAACATTACCTGCTAGAAACTTTGGATTTTGCGTAAAATCCAATCCTTACCTAAGTCTCTTCCCTTGAAACGGCTAGATTTATTCTACAAAAATAGTTCAAATTTCCTCAGTGTGTATCTCCAGCATTTAATTGGTAAGAGATCCCAATTCTTCTGAAAGTAATTCTACATTTTAGGACATAAATTAATTTCTGTGTCTAAAGTGCTTTGTGTTTTAAGAAAAAGAACAAGAGGCTTATCTGTTCATTGTTAAAACATCTTACAATCCATTATTAAACATGTTAAATATTACACAATTTATAAAGTAATGATGGACATTTATCACAGAAAATTATTTAGTGAAAAGCCAATTTACCTGTGAAGAGGGAAAATATTTTAGCCACCTTTCTATATGGACAGCATACCAGCCAGGAATCAAACATTTCTTCTGTAGGCCCTTTAATTCAGATGGTGCCCCATCATTCGAAGTAATTACTTCATAGAAATTGAACTTTAGAGCAATAGAGTCCTCATGAGAACGCTGATGCTAATTGGGAAAAATCCAAAGTTAAATAACCATAAAAGAAAGAGTAGCTGAGAATTTCCTAATCAACTTTTACCAAGTTTACTTGATTTTCCAGTTGCCCCCTCTAATGAAATATAATAAAGTATCTTACAGTAACTGGAAAACTAATAGGTTTGTTATGGCATACGTACCACAAAAATGATCCTATCATAAATGATAGTTTTTTAGATACCCAAGAGTCTTATTTTTTTCTATAATAACTTTACGATAATAAAAAAATAGATTGTGAGGCTATGCCTACATTTTTCAGTGTCACTCTTTTTCAGTGACAAGCTGAATATAAAATGCTGCTGGTGACTTTTAAAGTCTTATGTTGATTCAATCTGAAATATCCTCTTTAAAAATTCCATTTTGTGCAAAAGCACCCTTTAACTTGAAGACCTTTGAGTGAACCTCTCTTTCAAACTTCTTTCTCTAGAGATATAAGATTATTATGTGTTTAAGGTATGGGATTTTTTTTTCTGGAGTTCGGATATGTGTTCTCCTGGCAAATTAATATTTCTTCTTCTTACTTTCCTTCTTGTTTTCCTTGCAAAAGATTGCATGAAATGATTTTTTGTGGTCCCTGCCATCTCTACAATTCTGTGAAGATCATGCAGTCACATAAGGGAAATCACAGAAGAATTTTATTAAGGCTTTTTATAAGTTTTAAATAATGCTGTTTTAATTAGATAGCGGTAACTGATTATCGCACAGTGCCTCAATAGAAGTCATTATCCTCAGTAATATGGGAACTAAGTGAGAAGGATTTAAAGAAATGAAAGAACTGGGAATTGCATGAAGTTGTAGATTTCAGGCTGTCATCATCAATTAAACTCAAATGTCATCATCTGAGCTTCACTTGTATTATAAATTAATACTGCAATAGAGCAGGAGGTTGCCACAAAAAAGGAGAAAACTATGCAACATTTTGTTGCAGTGATATAGAATCCATTGCTAATGGTTTCTTCCCAGGGCCTCCTGATAGCCATGACAGCAGACAAAAACTACATTATTTGCTTCATCTGTGTAATTTATTATTACATTAAATAAAGCACTAGAAATCGTTAGCTTGCTGTGAAAGTGATGGCTTTGGTTTGATTTCTTATAGTTGTGAACTCACCATTTTCATTCCAAGAATCTTACCTGATACCACGAATATGCTCTGTCAGATGGATTGATGAGGATGGTGATGATTTTTGCTTTGGGTATCAAGGACGCTGCACGTTTGGGAGCATCTTCAGAATGGAAATAGTTGGCGCTTTTCTCAAACAGAATATCAGCGGTGATATTTGAAGGGGTAGGAAAAAAATTCATATACCTGCAAGTAAAAATACAAATTCAGCAATGATGAGGGTTAAAAAAAACACATTTTTTCACCTTACCAAAATAAACTTTTGAAAACATAGGTAAGGGGTATCTATCTAAGTGAAAGTAAATATAATTGTATGATCTCAGGTGCTATTACTTTGAGAAGAAGAAGTCCTTATTAAAGCAGAGTATATTGTACAATTTCTCTCATTCTAGACCAGGGGTAGGCAACCTTGGCTCTTTTATGACTCGTGGACTTCAATTCCCAGAATTCCTGAGACAGCATGGCTGGCTCAGGAATTCTGGGAGTTGAAGTCCATGAGTCATAAAAGAGCCAAGGTTGCCTATTCCTGCCCTAGATACGGGTGTCAAACTCGATCGTGTCACATGATGTGCCTGGCTGAGGAATTCTGGGAGTTGAAGTCCACAAGCCATAAAAGGGCCAAGTTTGAAGATCCCTGATTTACAGTATGTTATTATATACATACTTTTTAATGTGGAACTGTCCATGTATGTTTCTTCAAAGTTCCATACCAGTTGTATTATAAATACTGAAATATTAGTATTATTTTAGATTTTTTCAACTATTCTTTGAAGCTAATTCTCTCCTTCTAATACATTTATTGATGTATTTAATGTATTGATTCTCAGTAACCATATATACTGCAAATAGCATCTTTAAAATAGCCTTTTTCATTATCCTCTTTAACATCTTATCATGTAAAAATTTAAAAATATATCAACGCTGCAATAATGTAAGTTTCCTGGTTCCGCTATTCTCCTCAACTACATAGTAATATTTTTGAAATGGGGCAGAAGATCAGACAAGCACATTCTAAATATAGATGTTTCATTAAGTTACATTAATATGATAATTCTGATTAATTTTACTTTCTTTTCTTAAATATTTTCAGCCTACAACTTTTTTTCTTTATTACTGTTATTTATATGGCATTTAAAACATCCAATTAAAAACAAATGGAAAGAGATGAATAACAAACAAGTTATACAGCTTTTTTCCGAATGGCATTTGATTATAAAGAATACAAATATTGGTATTATAATGTCAAATAAAGAAAATCATACTTAGATAAAAATCTCATCAGTGTGACCCAATTGCTAACTGATACATATTGCACGGTGCACAGAAAATTCATCTAAAAATAATTTAGGTATCGCAAATACTTCTATAATGAGTCCTCTGAGATTCAGTATATGCTAAAAACTTTCGTCTTTTTATTCTTACCAATCAATTCCCTTATGATAGTTGTTTCCATTAAAGAACTGAACTTCCTCAAAGGTTTTTGGGTTAGGAAGATTACTAATTATGGAGGGATTCATAAGGAGAAATAAATAGAGTGCTGTTGTTCCTACAAGGAAAAGAAAGCAGTTAGGATTATATAATAATGCAGAAAAAGCCATATTTAATTTAAAGAGGGATTAAAAACATAAAAAACGGCTTTCCAGAAATATATTCCAAGAGGTAGAAAAAAGTCCCACTTATGGAATGATATATTAATTTTATGTAAGTTTATGTGAAAGACTTAAATTAAGTTGTTTCTTAAAATTGTCTACACATTTATACTAAAACTTTGCTAATATTAGGAATTTATATTCATTACATTGTACTAGCAAATATTTTATATAAATCATTATAAAATTACTATTACTATTATTAAACGAAAACAGTCATATTATTGGCAGAACAATGTTAATTTGGGGGTCCTGGGGAAAAAGCCTAAATTGTTTCTCATGGCTTTTCCACTTCAGTAGGCTTACAAAATCAATACATCCTAGACAAAATTGTTTTACTATTTTTAAAAGCAATTATTGTCATTGTTTCTATTTTTTTTTTACTGTATAATTCTCTTACCTGTTTTTTGGGGTCCGATCACAAGAAATTTTGGTAGATGACCACAAGTTTTGTCTCTAGACCAGATATCACGATGGCGTCTGTCATCACATGGATTCTGAAAATTAAAAAGACTAAATTACTTTGAGATAATTTTCAAATATTTAATTTTCTGTCCAGCTGAAAAGTTCTTTGGAGAAATGGTTGCTTTTTTGTAGAAAAATCAAAGATACTCTACTTCAGAGATACATGAATTCCTGATTTGAATTCTAAAGCAAAATAATATTATAATAATATGAGGACCAATATCTTGGACTCCATTATGTTTATGTAGAAAAGGATTGTCAAAAACAATATTGTATTGGAGATGTAATAAGGTGAATGTTTGTTTAAAATACATATTATTACAGTGTACTATACTAATTAGGTTTTAGGAGAAAGTATTGAAGTACATAAATATTTGTGTGAAGAAATGATAATATTCTTTCACACTACAGTAGTGGCTAAAATTGTGGAAATCTTTTGGGAAAAGTGTATTTTTGAGGTTTGATGGCTAATAACACTACTTTGTTTGGGATTAGTACCATAAAATTATATATCAATGGAAAGATAATTTAATCAAGAATGTAATACAACAAAGTTTGTTCAATTATCTGTACTGTATTCTATGAAAAGCTATAGCCAAATAACCAGAAAAAGGAAGCACAACTTGCTCAGGTTGATTTCAGGTAGCTTTACTTCATCCGATTGTAGCCCATGAGCATGAGTGTTTAGAGAGCCAATCAGGTATCATCTTGTTTTGGCAATGAGCCAATAAGATCACAGTAGGATTCAGTTATTGATGTCACGTATTTAAGCTGAGAGGAGGACATTTGTCAGTGTGTTATGTGATCGCTATCAAGTTGGTTGGGTTTTTTTGTGTTCTTTCATTTAGTGAGCTTGTAAAACATAATAAAATTAAAGTAATGGTGCAAAGAGTTGACTGGTTGCCCAGAAAGTGATGTAAAATAGTATTATTAAGTGAACAAGGCTACAGTTATAAAGAAATTAGAAGAAAACTTGGTGGAAACTTAACCAAAGGTGGCATTTCAACTGTATACTTTTCCACAATTTTGGCCACTACTATATTGCAGTACTTGGAACCAGACAATATAAATAGATTTCTGGTGCCATTTAAATATCTGTATATTTTCTTTTAACAATCTGGTTATCGCATGGAAACTACCTTTAAGTACACACTAGTGTACAGGTCTATTTGTTTCCATGTGTGCATCCTCCATTACAATATCTTTCCTTTGGTATAAAGAGTGTCTTCTAGGCTGTTTCTTATTCTTTAGAAAATATGAAAAAGTGTCAGGAATCTTCCTCACATTCATTGTTGAAAGCCTAATTATTCTATAACATAGTTGTCTACTTTATCTCATTGTTAATTCACTTCATAGCTAATTCATCAAAACAAGTTACTGCAAAGCAATACAGCAGGAAAATAAAAGCTGTTTTCCTTTCTCATCTTGACTTCTTTTTTCTTTCATTAATATCAACCAAGCTGAGAGCTGATACTTTAGAGCCTGACTCTGGGTAGGTGTTAATGAAGGTAATGTAACCACCAGTTTATTCTCTGCCAAGCAATGCGCTCTTAGAAAATCATGCTGATTTTGAAAAGGAAATTAAATGAATCTATCAAGCTATGTAAAACAGATTAAAATGTCTTTGTTGTTAATTTTTCCTTTTCTATTTTTTTTTTTTTTTGCCAAACGGTCCTCACTGCAACAATATTGCAAATAAATATTGGGATCATGCTGTTCAATCAAATAGATCTTACCAGTGGTGGGATTCAAATATGTGAACAACCGGTTCTCTGTGTGGATGCCGCTTCCAGAAGTCTGTTCTGGGCCTGGGCAACAAAAAATTAACTACCGGTTCTGCCAAAGTGATGCGAACCGGCTGAATCCCACCACTGGATCTTACCTGCCAGAGTGGATCCTTCTGTTCTGGAAAGAGCTCAAAATATTTGTGAGCCAATTGAATTGGACGTAGTGTCTGCAGCTTTAGGTTGGTCCAGCTTTGCACAAAACTGGCCAGGTTGACAAATGTGTATAACCCCAGTCGGTCATTCCCATAGTTAGACAAGTGGGTCATGAAGATACTGATCTGAAAATAAACACACAAATGTTAGTGACTTGTAATAGCAGGAGGATGTCACTGGGTGGCATTAGGTATATTTCAGATCTGGATATGTATAGTTGCCTGTTTTTAAAGGGCTCTACTAGCAATCTACTAGCAATTGCTATTCAAAGGTATGCTGTGTAGATTTTAATAGATGTATTCTGTTAAAATTGAAACAACAACAAAAGAGAATAGCAATTAATAGGCCATCTTTGTATGTTGTCACATGTAGCTTGGATCGCCAAGAAATTTTTTTTTACCCCCACCCCTGAGAATTACTTGCATTTTCTAAATTTCTCACAGTCTGAATTTTTAAACTGCTCCCATAATTGGATTGTTACAGAAAATCCAAACAGAGCCATAATGCATTCACTTTCCACACTTTTGATGGTTATGATACAATAGAAACTCACAGAATTTGTTTACACTTCTGAAAAGTATAATTTGTCTTCAAAAGTATTTCTCTTTGCCCACATCTATTTTTAAAATTCAGTTTGGCCCTAAAGTGAAGGTCTGTTTGATTTTCTCAAAGTTGATTTACTCTTTTAAAACTCATAGTAAGTGATAAGGTGTCTTCCAGATTTATATGATACACAAACTTTTGTTTGAAGGAAATATGTCTTCTATCTTTTCTACAATGTTATTTTATTTACTTTTGAATGATTACGGCTTTCCGAAGAGTATAATGGAAAATAACTTTCATAAAGGCAAAGTTACTACTTTATTAAGAGATGTTCCTTATCTAATCTAAGGATTTATTGTAAGATTGATCAAAATCAAGATATGTATCTGAAATAAACAAATTGCACATTCTTAAAATTAACAGGATGTAATTATAAGACTCTGCTCTGTTTCATTCACTTCTATTTAAACAAAAATATGCCTTTTTAATGGAAATACAAATTAATGGCACTATTGCAATTACAGCAAAGTAGCAATTAAAACATTGTAGCAGTTAAGGCATTGTTTGGAAACTCCTAACACAATAACTTCCTAGAAGGAATATTATTGTGGGAACCATTTCTCCTACTCACATAGAGGAAGCATAAGGAATTCTCTGATATAACATTTTACTCCAGTGTACTAATCAAGTCTCAACATGGAAAACAAAGGAACACAGCTGTATTTCTCCACACATTC